AACTTCCCTTGTGATTTTGGAGATGGCCACTTTGGGACGAATTTTGATGCCTTTGACTTTACTGCAGATAGTTCTCAAACGAAAACCTAATCTCTCTTTATATATATATATATATATTAGCCAAGTGTACCATGGTGGACCCCCGCACAGCTGCGGCACCGCAAACTGCCGTCAGTTGAAAGTGGGAACTGGGGGGGCGTTTGGGTCATGTGTTGGTGTTTTGTTGCTCTTCTTGGTCTTGGGCTGGTGACGTCTCTCGCTCCCCCTCTCTCTCTCTCTCACTGTGGCTGAGTGGCAGAGGTGTTTCTTTTTGCAAGAGCGGCGCTTTAAAGATCTGTCGCACGAGCATTGCAAACTTCGTCTTCAGACGTATTTGAGCAAGTGCTTTGCTTGGTGACAAATCTTCTCGGATCTTCTCGGTAGATTGTAGAGGCGTGACCCTTTGGCTGATGCTACTGTATTGGGGTTGTTTGCCGGGCTAATTGCAGTTCAGGCTGAAGCAAGTTTGTTCACTGTACCCGACTCAGGCGTCCCATACTGCTTCTTGTCTGATGAGTCCTTGCTTTCGGGTCAAGAGGCGTGGGCTCCAAGCTTTCATAGCACAGTGGAACCTTGCTAAACTCCAGACAGCGGAGTTCTTGACAAAAGCTTGTACTAGGACGCACTGACTACTGCCGTCGCTGGTCTTTTCCTGTCCTGGCTACATCTCAGGCACAGTGGATCCAGAGTTGGACTGACGTGCATGTTGGAACACACCAATGTGAAATGATATGATTTTAATGCTCTTCTTTGATCTGTCTATCCCAGGCCTGAGCCTGATTCCAACTTTGCTCAAAAGCTGGAAGGTGTTGACCGCCTTCTAGAGGACAGTCTTGTCTTGTTTTCAGTGCTGCGGTTCTTGGTTCCGCTTTCCGTGGTCTGGCAGGTTGGTTTGAATGTTGCAGCCATGCCAGCGGAAGCGGTTCTGCTGGCATTTGTTTGATTTTCGACAGGTCTTGTTCATGTGTTCCAGTAGAAGCTCCAACAGGTTCCAGAATCAGAAGACAAGTCTGATTTGCTCGACTCCTACTGCAAAGAGTGCCCGGAGCTCACAAAGAACTGTGCAGGCAGCCCAATCAACCTTGAAGCATTTGCTGGACAGCCTCTATCCACCAAGGACGCTACTAGGGGCTCCTGGCCTTACTACTAGGAGCAAGGACACTACTAGGGGCTCCTGGCCTTACTACTAGGAGCAAGGACGCTACTAGGGGCTCCTGGTCTTACTACTAGGAGCAAGGACGCTACTAGGGGCTTTTGAGCCGGCGCCTTCGCCGGAGTGCCAAAGATCTCCAACGTCCAGGTTTTGCAAGTGGCGAGGGCAGGCAGTTCTGTATCACCATGCTTCAACACTTTTCAATTAGTTGATTGTTACCTGTGCAAGATGGTTCTAAGTTAAGTCACATGCCCTGGGAGCAGGCTGATCAGCAGCCTTGTGGCTATTGAAGAGCAACATCGGGCCATGTTTCTGCTTCAAACGCAAGGACCACAGTTTCAAGAGCAGAATAGACTCCGAACATCTCCGAACACTCCAGGCAGACTGAAACTCCCCAAGCCCGCCATGCCCCACCCGTGTGCTGAAATGTTCTTCCAGCACACGGAACCACTAGGCGCTTGCGCAATTTGATCGCTGAAGTCATGGTTCGACGAGCCGGAGACTTGCAATCTCAGCAGTTCTGTCTTTGTCCCGTAAGCTTGACCATTTTATCAAATGTACCAGCTTCACTAGGTAATCTCTCGCCGCAGATTCAAAAGCTGCAGTCTTATGAACGCTGCTTTGCGTTTGCGTTTAGTCGAGCTGGAGCGGAGCTGATTGAGAATTGATTTTGGCTGTAACAGGTTCTGGCAGTGGTGTCCAACTTAAGCAGTGTTTTTCTTGCAGGAAGCTTCGCATTCCATTCCATCCCCTTACCGTAAGTTTGAGTATCAATCTAAGATGACGCCCACACGATGGTGTGCTTGCAAGAACTTGTGCGGGATCAGGCACAGGGGAATTGCAGCGGTCAATTGCCGTTGGCTTCCGGTCGCCAGGATTGGATCATGTTGACTGAGACAGAGCATCCAGCCACAAGATCAGCACGTCCACAATCTGTTGCTCACCACTGAGATTTGCAAGATTGCACTTGGGGAATATGGGTCCAAAATTGGCGAAAAGTAGAGCAATCATTGCAATTGAGTCATTGCACGATATTGCACGATGCACGTGTCATCGGTCACTTCAAGTCACTGGTTCAGAAGATTCATTTTGTACCTTTAAACCTCTTTGATTGAGATCCTCTTTGTTCCCAGGTCAAAGAGAAGCGTTTGCTTGTTGCCCAGCTCTTTGATTACCTTTCAATCCGTGTCTAAGCTGCGATGATAATCAAAGTTTGCCACTGTCCTAATGCTTCACATTAAAGATACGATTTATGTAACTTATGTATACTTTCTACATGCTTGGAAAAGTGGAGAATGTAAATGATACCCCTGGCGTATGGCTGCATCGCTCTTTTTTTTTTCTACGGACCCCGCTAAAAAGTAGCTGTCCTCATGTAGGGCAGAGGAACCTGGACAACAGGATTCCATAAGGATGCAGCACTTCCATCTTGTTGATGTTGATCAGGAATTTACAAAAGTATCAATATGTTTAAATGAAATCCTTTGGTGGCTCCAATGGTTTAGGTTTTGGAGTACAGAATGATACGTGGTTTTATTTGGTGTTTTTTTTAGTTGCGTCTGAGGCCATAGAATGCATACAACAGGGAAACAATCCCAATACGCCACAAGAAGACAGGAAGCAGGAAAGTAAAGAAATGCAGTAGAAGAGCTGGGAAGAGCAAGACAAGTGCAAAAGAAGCAGGAAAAGCAAGAAAAGAAGCAAACACAGAAAAGCAAAGAAAAGCAAGGAAAGGCACGGAAAAGCAAGACAAGCACAAGAGAAGCAAGAAAACAAAGAAAAAGGGATAACTTGTAGAGACGCAATGAAACTCACCACCGCAGACCAACAAGGCACCAAACTACCAAGAATCCCGTCACCAATTTTCACCCTAAGAGGCCTATTTTCAGAACTGTGTGGCACATGTTGATGATGTTTTCAGCACCCACAGTTTGTTCTTGGGGAGGGCTCAAGCTTTAGCTGTTGACAAAGTCCCTTGTAATTGAGCAGCTTCAAAAACCTCTATGATGAAAAGTGTGCAAACTGTAATCTCACATTCTTTCGCGAAAGCCAAAACGCAGGTCGCGAAAGGTTCGCGAAAGCCCCGCGAAAGAACCCCAGAAGAACAGCGTCGCGAAAGCTTTCACGAAAGTCGAATTTCTTATGCATGTCGTGTTGTTTATGTGGGTGACCATATTTTTATGCAGGCAGCCGCAGCAGGCCAGCCAGCCAGCCAGCCAGCCGCAGCACACCAGCCAGCAGCAGCAGCAGCGCTGAAGAGCAAGTGTTTCAGGGGAAAATCGAAAAGCCCAGACGAATTTCCGCGAAACCCGCGCGAAAGCCTCGCGAAAGAACCGCGAAAGTCGAAAATATCCGGGAAAGGTATCTGGCCCCAGCAAAAAGTTTCAGCAAGTTTTCCTCCTCTTCTGATGACAACAGTAATACTTGAACGGTGCTGCTACAACTCCTTGTGTCAGGATGTTGCCGGAAAGAAATTTGTTCAGTTTTGACCACCCTAAGGACACTTATATCGGATAACTTATATAGATCAATCACTTTATTGTACAATATCCCAATCGAATTTCCCAATCGAAAACGAATCGCCGCGAAAGCCGCCGCGAAAGCCCCACATAACACCACACCTTCCGCGAAAGCCAGAATGCAGGCCGCGAAAGCTCCGCGAAAGCTTTGCGAAAGCAAACCTGGATTATACAAAAAAGTAATAGGGGTTTTCGAAGCTGCTCAATTGGCGATGAACTTTGTGTAAAACAAGATTCTCGTTGTTGGGGACTTTGTGGGTTGCGGATGTGGTGATGTCTTCATCGTTTTTCTGCAGACTTACTGTCAGGAGGACTGCCTTTCAAGCAACATGGTTTTAAGTAGCTCATTCTCATTCCAAAAGCTCTTTTGTTTCTGTGAGGCATCCAACAAAAAACACTAATCGCAACAAACAAATTATCGAACACATACTGTAGTCCTCCAATACAACTGATCCGAGTCGCCGCGCCTGATGTGGTTTGTGCACATACGATCGCTCGGTCGACAGATGACCAGATGAGTTTATTAGTTTTCACGTTTTTCAATCGGTTGAGTTGCAAAAAGAAAGAGAACAGTTGTTTAAACAGTTCGCAGTGTGAGCTGGCATGGGGAAAGCAGGGGAGAGCAAGAGTTCAGAGACGAATGTCTTTTATACATTTTTCCTGTTCTGGGATGTTCTGGGTCCAGTATGAAATCATTAAACATTTGGGTTTGAACCTGGAGGAGAACGTGGGGAGGATCCAACAAAGATCTGGGGCGTATTTCCTAGGGATTTGACTTGTGGGCGCACAGAATTTTAACAGCTTTCTGTTTTGAAGCACTGGAGGGTACAGCATTTCATCAATGTCCGCAATCCTGTTTCCCCAGTTCTATAAGTCCAGCCTCAGCTGCACTACTCAGTGGTATGTAAATGTTGCTTGCAACTGTTGCTTTGTTTTGCATGTATGGAGCCAGCAGATCTGAGGTGGACCACGCGGAGAGCGGCAGGCCAAGAAGTCAGACCTTGTGAACATATTGAGAGTATTTGAGACCGTACTGAAGAACCAGACTCCAAGTTCGAAGCAGCAAACTGCGAACCGCAGGCAGTGACAAGGCACAAAAACGACTTGACATGTTTCCTTGTCTAGCCGTTGGCTCCAGCTACCTGAGCAACACTCCACCGCGACAGATCAGACACAAGGAGTCTCGCACTACATTGAGCATGCACAACTTATATGGGAAGATGTTTGGCTTGGCAACGAGACCTGACAAGATGTTGCCCACGATTACATCTTTGGGTGCTCAGTGGGTCGCTTGACAGAAACAATCCCACAGACAAAGCTGCCAATGTAGCCAGACACAGTGATGCAATGATGCTGCTTTGAACCCATGAGCAACTTGACATAGCAAGCTCAGTTTCAGCAGGACTGCGGCTGTGGCTGTAGCACAAACAAGTTGAAGCAATGCATTGTGTCAAGCGAAAACCATGGACTTGAAGGTCCACAGAACTACCCCTTGTCTCCGACTCTTTTTTACTTTAAGTGCTCTTGGTTTCAAACTTCTTTTCAGTGCTGCAGCAGTTGATGGCGTGGTCGAACTAAGATGACGAACTGGAGACCTGCTGCGTTTGCCTTGATGCTTTGAGCAACTGGCCAGCATCGTTAGCAAAGGCACTGGAAAAAACTTGCGAGCAGTGGACGTCTGAGGATGTCTTCGTATCGCTTTTGAGGCTCCGCCCCATCATCGATCCTTGTGTCAAGCTCACATCGAGTTTCCAGATTGCAGTCAAAAGTGCAGCTGTTGCGTGCTTTGTTAAGTAACAAGAAGCTAAGAAGCTACTAGTAACAAGGTGCATCGTTGAGTTTCCCTAAACATCTAGGAACCAAATCATTAGTGCGTGAGCTATCCTGCGTCCTAAGCAGTAGCTCCTTAAGCTACTACCTACCTCTTCTACTAGCTACCTAGCTACTACCTCTAGCGGCCTACCCCCCCCCTCCGTTCTGTTTCACATCTTGGCCCTGAATACCCTACTGCAGTGCATCATGTCAAGCATTGCGCGTGCTCCACTTTTCTTGTCCAACAGGGAGGTCCGCAGTTGACCTCCTTCCACCAACGTGTTCGGAGGCTTTTCTTTATATAAGTCAGGTCACTGACCTCCAACATGTGTAAGACTTTGTGGTAGTGCTTCATGGAGATGTGGCTGTGATGAAGGTTTGCCACCACTTTATCCACACTTTATGCGCCGAGAAGCTGAGTCCACGCAGTCTGGCTAAATTCTCAGAATGTTCCTCCTTTGATGAATATATCATCATATATCATATATTGGAGTTAATATATTTATCCACCAAGTCGTGGCTGGTAGAGTCATCATTTTCGTCCTCGGGTTCACGATTCGACATGACTTTGAACTTTGAATGCTCACTCATTTGCATTGCTTGACATTCACGGGTGCCCTTGTTTTTATAAATGCATGTCACCATTACATGTTCATCACTTCTCTCAGGAAAGTGCCCTCTATGTCGACAGTGCTTTGCGCACGTGTCAGTCCCTTTGGACCAGCGATGGCTGTCGTCCACAGCACCCGAGGAGAGAGAATCCACATTTGCCAAAGGGCAAAGCGTGTCATTGTGATCCCTTGGCTTTGGGATTTGAAACTTGTTTGTTTGGCATCAGGAAATCATTCGCGGCCTCCGTCGTCTTGAAGGACTGCCAGAGCCATCTTCAAATGAGGCCTGTGTGAACAAGCTTGCAGGACACAATAAGTTTTACAGAGCATAGCATGTGCTTTTCTGGGAGTTGTCTGAGCGAGCCAAAGATTTAATTTAAAGACTCGAGGTGGAGAGGGCCCCAGCGCAATGTGTCATTGAGATCCTTGCGGCAACACTTCCTATACCCGAGGAGATTCTAATGCAGGCTCGGAGTGCTATGTCTGAGGATACGCTTGTCACTCAAGTCGAGCTGGCCAGGTTGCTTGCCAGTCACGACGATTTCATTGGAAGTCTTGACACGCATGTCTTCACTTGTTGAAATTGTTTTTGCAGGAGCTTCGCACCCACGAGGAAACAATTTCAGCCGAGAATTTCAGTCAAATACTGCTTGGCCTGGGAATCCAACCGCTTCAACCACAAAGGATTGGAGTTTCGGCAGCAAGATGAAGAAATAGTAGTTTGCAAATTTTGCAAGTGTAATGAAGTGTTTGCCCGTTGGATTTGTGCCGATTTGCGTATACATATATATATATAAATGTATATAAGACATATAAGAAGAAAGTGACAGAAGTGATAGGTGAAAGCTTGGTTCCAAGACACAAGACTCTGGTGCGGTACTCTTCATTGCGACGCACGTACTGGAGGCGGAGTCAGAACAAAGCAAAGTGAGGGATGTGAACACGTTTGTTTTGTGAAAGAAAGGACAATTGGTTTTTCTCTTTTAAGAGAAGGATGTGTGCTTGTCTCTCTCTCTCTCTCTCTCTCAGAGTCTCTCTCTGTTATTTTTGGTGCTTCAGACTTCGTTGGCTTTCCTTAAAAGCCTGTGGTGCAGCTGGTGCGGGATGCTCGTGGGGTGCAGCTGGACAGTTCATTGAACATGATGCCTTCCTTTTTATTGTTGTTTTAACTTTAAGTTCATTCTTCAACATGTTTGCAAAACACATGCTGCTCTTCACTGACAGATTTCAGGACTCTCAGCAGGCGTGCTGCTGGGTGGTGCAGCTGCGATTCCACATCGTGCTTTGCCTGACATGCAGGCATGTACAGCGAGCTTTGGTCCTAGGCTTGTCATGGCATCAACAATAAATAAATCACTAGATGTCACTAGTCGATGATTTTACAAGCTTATTGTGAGACCCACGAGAATCAGATGATCATGGCAATCAAAGCAGCTTATTTCGGCGGATTGCTACTCTATTACGGTATGCAGCGCTTGGATCTCGTAACTTGGCCAGCTTGATTGTAGCTTTGACCCTGCGAAACTCTATTTCCCTACCTGCCAGGTGAGAGTTGTTAGATTGTATCAGAGATGGCATCCTCGTCCTTCTCTTTCTCCTGCAAGCAGGGCCTCAACTGCAAGGGCTGGATCGCAGTGGGCACTGCCGGACCTCAACCACCAGCGATCGATCGCAGGGGGCACCGCCAGACCTCAACCGCCAGCGCTCGATCGCAGTGGGCACCGCTGTGCCTCAACCGCCAGGGCACCGCCGGACCTCGACCGCCAGTCCTCGATGTCGCAGTGGGCACCGCCGGACCTCGCCAGATAGAGTGCCAGAATGCATGCCAGTTAGAATGCCAGAGTTTCTGCCAGATAGACTGCCAGAATATATATATATATGTCAGAGAGAATGCCCGAGTCTATTCAAATTCAAGATACAATGTGAGCACGTGTGCCAGATAGAGTGTCTATATACGTCTATATATACATATGCATGTCTCTATATACATACATATATATATATATGTATATGCATGTCTATATAGTTACACAAGATGGACACTTTCTGCAATGACAGAACAAAAGACGAAATACATGTGAAGCCGCACACGGACCGAAGTCGGACCATACGTCACAGCACATGTCAGGCTTCATGGCACTTTCGCACGCGCACAGGGTCGGTAAAGACGCAGCGCCTAGCATGAATTCCCTAATAAAACATGCAACTGGCCTCAGAAGTCAGCCTACTCGGGCTCCTTCGGGCCCCGCAGCATACTTCACTGGTAAGCGTTGCAAAAAACAACAAAGCCGCTTGAGCCGGGCGGTGACGTCCCGCCACTCATGCAACAAGGGCGAGTCAAGATTCAGCCCTTTCCAGTCCGGCAGAATAAGTTACTTTTTTGGCCGCTGCCAGAAGAAGGCCACAAAAACGTTTAAAGCGCTGCAAAAACAAGATGCGCATAGCAACTGTGCATGCCGGGGCCATGGCAGAAAACGTCAGTGAGGGGCGCAAGAACATGAGCCAGAAGTGCGTTGAACCTTTGAATAAGACTTCAGGCTGACATGATGCATGGGTGCTTGCATCTGCAACGTAGCTTGAAGCTCTTTTGGTGGCAATTGCATGTATACAGCTGAGAGTGGCAGTTGAAGGAGTGGTAGCGAAAGGCTTTGCAACAACTAAATTTCCTGTGTGAAGGCTTGAACAGCTGTGAGACAACAGGCCTGTGGCAAGAAGCACTTTGAGCTGTGCCATGATGTGTCAGAGCACAAACCAGACTTGATGCCAGAACAAACGTTTTTGTCAGGCTGGTCTGTCAATGCATGTGCCCTGCCTTCTTCCAAATCGCCTTTCACTCGAAGTAAATCTTTTTTGGAGCCAGATTTTGTTCACTATCATCCACCACTTGCGCTTCGCTTTCATTGATCATCAAACTCAATCCCACTTGCTTCAAAGTAGGACCTATAGCCGCCAGGGATTTTTGTTCTGTGGAACACATTGGATATCCAATCCCCCAAGGGCAGGGCTGCAGTGATCACATTCGGATGGTTGTTCCCGGTTGCGGTGACGCCGGCCACGTCATGCAAACGACTCTACCCTTAGATTCGCAAAGTTAAACTGTCAAACGAGAGCCCTTTGTTACACATTAGGGAGTGGAGGGGCGTTTTTTTTTCGGGATTTTTTAGTTTTTTTGGTGTTTTTTTTTTCGGATTTTGCTCTTGCTGCGTTTCTGCTTCTGCTGTTTTTTTGCTTTTATTGTTTTTATGCTTTTGGTTTTCTGCTTCTGCTGCTTTTGATGTTTTTCTGCTTCTGCTGTTTTTCTGTTTTTTGTGTTTCTGTCTTTCTGCTCTTTGCTTTTGTTGCTTTTCTGCTTTGGCAGCTGTTCTCCTTTCTCTTTTTGTTTTTGCTTTTCCATCTGTTTGCTTCCTAACCTTTGGATCTGGTGTGCTACTGGGGGGGGGCGCTGCGCCCCCCCCCCC